CCAAATTTACCAATAAGCCCATAAACCTTAGAATTCACAAAATTGCCCAAACTCTCAATTTTCACCAAAAAATCATTTTGAACCACTTCAAATTACTCCAATTGCCCAAATACACCCAAAATTTTCAAAATTACCAAAATACCTCAACACCACCTAAAATTATCAAAATGCCCATACCCTAATGATTGTCAAAATCCCCAAAATCATTCCAAACTTCACCAAAACTAATTCTAACCACCTAATTTTGTCAATTGCACCCAAAATCCCCTAAATCCACCAAAATTTGCTAAAATTCCCAAATTACCCCTAAGTTCCCAAAGTCCCAAATTCACCCATAATTTCTACCGTATTCATTTCAAGCTCATTCAAATCCAACGAAATGTCATCATGATCAAGACCAATTTGAACCAAATTAAGCCCAATTACATCCAAGTTCAAACCCAAATTCCAAGCCAAAGTCAACTACCCAATAATTAAACCTAACTTCAAATCCCACCAAGGTGAACCACATGATGAATTCAATTTCATAAAATCCATTTCTTAAAATCCTCATGACATTTTCCTATAACAATTTGAACCCTCTATTGGTCTAGACCCAAGCCCAAGCCAGGCTTAAATCCAAATCCAAGCCTAAACCCCATTTTGAGCCTAAATCCAAAATCTAACCTAGGTCCATTAGATTGATTAAGGGCTTGATCGTCTCAGCCATCCTTAAACCCTTGAGATGCTAATCACATCACTGGGTCAACCCTCTTTTGAGACATGGACCACTGGTCCCTCAGTTTAAGCAATTCTTTTCTGCTATACGGGTTAACTTTTTAACCTATTTAACTAGCCCTCTTTGAGGAGGTTCGTGGACTCTAGGCGACTGCCTTCAATCGAGGTCTCACCTCTTGGGCTAAGCTATAATCCAAAAACCCTAAATTTTGCTTCGGTTGGGATCTTTATGAAGAGAACTTACATTTCATACGTATATAACCATATAAATAAGTTTGTCTCACTTAGATGAAGGTGTAGGAACAAATTGCGAGTGCTTTAGTTGAGAATTGAGTTAGATATTTGGTTTAGAACACAGACGATTCTCAAGCGCGAGCAATCAGAGACAATGAACGGATGTCATCCGTTTCCACGTGTATCGAGCAGGCTGACCAAATCACGTTGGACAACAGAATGCAATGCAAACCACGGGCATGTGTGGCACCTGAGGTGTAAAGTGTGGCGAATCATGGGACAAGGCATTGGACTTCAAAGCCGTCAAGGTCGCGCTAGCGCTAACTCGAATAAGTAGATAAATAAGGTATTTTGGATTTAAATAATTATAGAAACTTTAAAAATTCATATCTTGGTGTAGAAAAATCATAAAAATAAAATAAAAAAATATATCTGTGCTCAGTGAACAGAGAACAAAAATTTGAAAAAAAAATTAAAACTGTTTTCCTTATATTTATTTTTAAATAAATTAAATACTCTATAAAGTAATTAAATAATTATCTAAATTAGATAAAAAAAAATTGATAATCTAGAATATTGAACTAATTTAGATAATTCTAGAGTATTTAACTAATTTAGATAATTCTAGAGTGATAGGCTAGAACCTTTATTAATTTGGTATTAGTTGAGAACCTGAGTCCCTGGTAGGTTCTATAGAAAGGGCACAATGGGTAATCTAGAAGTGAGAGACTAGAATTTACTCATCACTATCATACAATCGAGAACTTAACTTAGATTAGCCAATGTTCTTTATGCACTCGGGAGAGGGCAAATAATATGTATGCTTATATTTGTCAAAATACCTTATTTTCACATTTAAGCATTTCATTCCTACACTGATCACAATTTCTTTGCAAGGGGAAAGACTTTTTATTATAATCAAACTTCTATAGACATCTTTAATTTAGAAACTTTGCATTTACTTTTAGTTTTAATTTAGAAGTGACAACTTTAGTTGCACCCTTTTACAAGGAGTTCGACATTATTCTCCAACATATTTTGTTACAGTTTAAGTAGAAATATTTTTAAGTTAGCATAGTAATTAATGTATTCCCTGTGAATTTGATATTGGGGTTTTTAAAGAAAACTCTATATTACTTGAAATGATATGTATATTTGAGTAGTACCCCTATTGTGTAGGTTCTTAATCAATTTCATCACATATATATTTTGCACGCTCGCCACTGAATATAAATCGGGTCAAGTTTACGACCATCATTTAGAACATAAAATAATTGCTTAATTGTGGGTTCGGTCACCCATCACCCAAAAATTTCTCGGCCACATGATAAGTAGAAGTGACTGCTCAAAAGGAGTTGAGCAATGAGCGATTGAAGATAACATTATACGTGGGTGGAGAATCGATCACTAGAGAATCTATCATTTTGATGAATTTCTTCTCAACCTCTCCTTAGGAGACTGACAAGGCAAGGATTCCTAGAGCTTCCTTTCAGAGAATTCATAGAGGAGCCAAAGCATGGTTGAAAGATGGGAGGTGATCAAACCCATCTAGTCAAATACTAATTTGAAGAAAATTTTTACCAAGCTCCATGTGTCAATGAGTATACTTCCAATATGATAATTGACAATCAGAGAGGTGATGATGATATAGTCATTGTATGGCGCCTTTTGATGGTAAGTATATGTTGGTAGAAGGGATGAGAGGATGTAAGTTGTAATATGGAGCTAGGGTTGTTGCTCATAATTTACCCGTTTAAGACCTTTTCAAGTAGGCTCGGTGGGATGCTCTCCTCCACCCCTCCATAGATGGAAAGAACTATGTTGGTTATGTGTATCACATGACCTCATACCAACTTGTTTGCGAATTCTTCAATATGAGAATTTTCCAATCACTAGGTGGTTGTTTTCGTGCACCACAAACTCCTTCAGCTTCCCAGCTTTGATCAAATCCTTGATCATGCTTTACAGGTGTCGACACTGCTCACTATCGTGATCATGGTCATGATGGTGCGTGCAATACCTCTTTGGCCCCTGAAGATATGTGCTGAAATTCATTAGGATCTCCTTCTTGAAATAATCTTTCTTTTGGATAGCCTTCACTATCTAAAACATCAAAACTCATAGAGGAGTCTACATGGGTATCTAATAAGTAGGCGGCAGTCACTCCTCATATTGAATCAGCCACCGTTTAGGATATCTAGTTTAATTTTCTTGATAATATGTTATGTCAGTCGCTTAATTATTTGAGTGTCTTTGAGAATTCTTGATGTGAGATTGAGTAGGAGGCAAGAATTATACCCCATCCTTGGCTCTGTGGCCTCCTTCTCCTTGGAGGCCCGCAGCCGTGCAAAAAGAGAAGAGGATCTCATCCGGGAAGAAAAGACCAAGACTTGAGAGTCAAGCCCGATGATTCTGTGGGATTACCCTTTTTCGATAGATTCAAATCAACATGGAGACGTCAAGCCAGAATCGCTCGTTATATCAACTTCCAACCCCTTCTCAATGGGCAATTCTCATCGATGAATAGTGATTGGGTTGCTCAATTCTGAATGAAGTAGGGCTGGGGGGAGGGGAAGAGTGTTACCCTTCCGCTGATATATGGTTTTTGGTCAGCTCCAACTGTTCAACTAGAGTCTTCGACCACTCGTGTAACTAAAAGATTCTTCCTTTAATCCTTGTGTGAGGGTCACATGAGCAACTGTAGGTTTTACATTTCGAACCTCCAATATTTCTTTCTGAAAATAATTGATGAAGGAATATATAGTCTCACTTTATCCTTGATGAGCTCCAGAAGAGTCGCGAGCTCTTCAAGGATTTTTAAGCTATTGTGAACTGTGCAATAAGCTTTTGCATGAAGTCTACAAATGATGTGATTAGTCATGCCGATAATTTGTTAAGCCACCTGAGAGTCAAGTTTCTCAATGTGTGAATAAGAGTTCACACTTCATTTTGTCGTTGATCTAGAAAAGACACACAGTAGACTTGAAGGAAGCAATGTAATCATCCAGGTCCATTCCTCCCTTGTAAGATTTAAGTGTTAGGATCTTGAATCATTCTCTGATGGCTTCACATCAGAGATCTGTAGGGAGAACACATTGTCTAGCTAGCACAGTGCATCAATATGTCGATTTGATGTCTATCGATCGGTACTAACCTATCATTATCATGATATTGGGTTTCGTCACCCCTTTCTAAGGCTTGGGGGACTCTTCTGTCGTTAGGCGTAGGAACATTATGTCTGGATTGCTAGTTCTTTTCCTTATTCAACACACCTATGATCATTTCCAGCATTTGATCCATCAGTTCTTGGATATGCTAGACCACAAATTCTCTCGTGCACTAAATGATGTCATCAACCTCTCATTTGTGAGGTCATTATTCATGCATTGCTCATTTTTTTTTGTTAGTTACATGATTCACACTCACCGCACCTTAAGGATATTGAATCTGAGATTGTTCGTGAATCCCAATCAAAGAATAAAGTTTGAATAAGGAGAGAGCGAGAAAGAGAGAGAGAGAGTGAGAGAGATTAACAATAAGGAAGTGCATTCAATATTGTTGATTTTTCATAAAATGTTTCCACTATTTATAGAGAGGATAATACAATAGTGACATTATACCTTTATCATTATTTGGCAGTAGTATGTACTAGGGTATTTCTAGTATTTTATAAGTGTGGGTTCATCTTCTGTCTGACTTATAGCTCGATCGGCAAAGTTTGGTTGATTTGGATCAACGAAGTCTGTTTTATTGGGTAATTTCGGTCGGCTGATCTAGCCTAATTGACCATCTTCGATCCCTGATGAGAAATTTTCGGATCTATGCAGAATGGCCGAAGACTTACAAAATTGACTTTTCCGTTGAGTCAGTCCCACATAAAGTCGACTTTTTTACAATAAATGACTGAAATGCTTCCTTCATTCTGTTCTTTTCGGGATAATTTAATGTTTGAAGACACCTTTTTGATGAAGATAACTAAATATAAACTCATTAATGAAATAAACTACTTTATACACCCCCCAAAAACTGAGTTTAGATTCTCCACACGTAAGGGGTAATATCTCTGCAATTCTTTTAAGAAGACGAAGCACGATTCCTCTGAACTTTTTTATTCCACATGGATCCAGCACTGATGTGTGACACTAATCTTTATTAAACGAGAGACCAGTGCTTTGGAATTTGGGATCATTTGACTTCAAATACGTTGAATTAGCCGTAGTTATTTCTTCCTCATAGATCTTCGTGCAAGTTACGGAGTTTCCAGCGAACACCGTAACAAAAATGGCATGTTCCCTATATAAACATAAATACATGCCCATTTTCCTTCTTCAAAGCTTGAACGATCGATTACCCAATCAATGAATCCCTAGATTTTCCTCCAAAACCCATCAATGGCGGGAACCACTGAGCGATGAGGTGCAAAATCCACCCTTCGGATCCCGGCACCGGGGTCTGCGCCTCATGCCTCCGAGAACGCCTCACAAACCTATCCGCCGCTGTTGCTAACGCCGGAGATGCCGATTTTTCGCCGACGAGCCGCCGTAATCTCGGTCGATTCACCGCCAAATCTTTCGGCCTCCGTCCCGCCGATCCCGACTCCGACGGCGCTGGTGGCCGGAGAAAGCACATCGGAAGGTTTTCCTTTCTATCATCTCTGTTAACTCATTCGGTCCACAAAGAGACGAATTCTGATTCGGAGTTCGCGAAGCCGTCGAGAACGAGATCGTGGATTTCGTCAATGATTCGTGGGCGGAGGATGCAGAAGAGGAAGAAGAGATCCCCGCCGCGGTTTGTGGTGGATGAGAGGGTGAGCGGCCGTGGGATGTCGCCGGTCGAGAAAGAAGAGTCGACGGATTTCGATTCCGAGAGCGGATACCACACGGATCCATTTCCGATGAGGCAGCAAGACGTGAACCATTACGGTGGGCGTCAACCGCGCAGAAATTACAGATTGATGGGTTTCTCGCTCTGTTTTAGCCCTTTGATGAGGCCGAGCCCGGGTAACCGTAAGAATCAGGTGCCGTCGGAAGTCGGATTTTCCGGCGAGCTCCGGGGAGGTCCTAATACTCAGCGCAATCGTTATGGTGGTGCTTCAGCCGGTGGATCGTACGCTCTCGGGCCGAATCGGTCAAGGAAGATTGCTGATTTTGGTAAGTTCCGGTAAGGGTTTCTGTGGAGCTTTTTGGGGAGCCCTGTTTAGAACGAAAATTTATTCCATGCGGATACATAGCATGCAGATGCTCCCCAGCATATGCAGATGCTTCACAAGCATGTGGTGTCCGATCTCGATTGTAAAAATATATTTTAGTCGGCTTTATATTGTAAAAGTTGGATGTGCATGCGGTGTCCGTATGAAACAATTTTTTTTTATTTAGATTAAAACTTTTTTTTTTCTGTTAAATGTTGAGATATTGTCTGAAATCTTAATATTTCAGTGTATGTCAAACTAGGTTGCTTCTGTGCATAAGAAAAATTATTTCTGCATTCCATTCGCATTAGCTCCTACTTTGGTTCATAACATAGAGAAATTTACACACACACACACACATATATATATATATATTTTTGTAAAAAGAATCTAAACTTTAAAATTTCTATATGATGAAAATTTTGAGAGAAAAATAAATTTTTTTCTTATTTATATGATTTTTTTTGGGAAATTTACATACACATCACACATTTTTTTGGTATTCATATATCAAACTCTTAAATTTTTATTTTTACATTTATATATCATAAATTTATACATAAAAAAATGCTTTTTATTTTTAAAAAAATAAATAATAATGATTTTTTTTTTATTTAGGTGAATTTACATACATAACACCCATTTTTTATGTATTTATATATCTGACACCAAAAAGCCCAATCCGACATTTTATACATAGTAAAGGAAATGTGCTCTGTTTGTAAAAATGAGAGTTTTGATGTGAGATATGTTAATGCATAAGAATTGAGTGCTAGGTATGTAAATTTCCATTTTATTTAATATCAAAATAATTGTAAATACATATTAAATATTAGATGTACAAATTAAAAAGAATTATATGGTATATTTTAAATTTAATTTTTTTTTAAAATAAGTTTATCATTAATTAAAATAATTTTTAGACAAATAACCAAGGAGCCCTTGGCCAATTGACTAGCGTGTTATTTCTTGCAAGTTAGCTGTTGATGCATCATGCATGGATTATGAGAACTTTAAATTATCTTGTGCTTTTCAAAATTGTCAAATTTATTTAGACCCTATTTCGGATTATTTTATTTCGTTTTTCTACGTTTTTTTTATTTTTAAAAAAATATTTTCGTCATATATATATATATATATATATATATATATATTAAATCGGCTTATTTTCATAAATATTCCAATTAATTTTAATATTTTTAGTATTTTTTAAAAAATAATACTAGCGCTAAGGCTCAATTAGGGTTCGTTTAGGGCAGTTTATAAGTGCGGGCGGCGTTTTGAAAACGCCGCCGTACTGTTTGTTTTACACGTTTCACTAGCTTATCCGAAATTGCGTTTGAGTTTTTACACTAAACGCAGACCGCGGTTTCAGGATAAGCAGCTTATCCAGAAATACACAAGCTGCTCCAAACGGACCCTTAGATGTGACCTACGGCCAACCTTCCCCTGCGACGGGCCGCTGCAACAAACATTAAAAAGTATATTTTAATTTTTGTTAATGTAATTATAAATAAAATAAAGCGACATTTACATGCATAGCACGCTAATCTTATGTATTTATATATTTCACACCTAAATTTTTACTTTTATACATGTATCAGCAAAATTTTAATATCACATAAAAATAACATTTTTACAACTTTTTAAAAATAGCATACATCCTCCTCCTTGAATATATTTAAAATATCAAACGGCTATATATGTAAATATTACATAAAAATTATGGGGGAGATATGTAAATACATAAAAATAAAGACGAGGACTATCAGAATCGGATATTGAAATCTGTGTCATTAAAGATGTGTATGGCAGCGTTGTTGAGAGATTAATTAGACGATATACGACAGTGATGCTCATCCAATGAAGTGCGTACGTGTACTCTTCGGGATGGCTCGTTTTCAACTCGGAGAAATTAGTAGTATAACTAGTCAACAACTGTACATCTTGACATGCTGCCGTTCGGATACATATAAGGTGAGATGAATTTTAAGTGAAAGATCATATGAAGTTGGAAGAACACAAGAGATTTTACGAGGTTTAATAATATACATATATTTTTGGGAGCAGAGTCGAGGTTTTCACTCCAGAAGTAAAGTTATAGTTCCCATGGGGTTACAAATATTATATATAAATATAATTTTGAATGAAATTATAAAAATACTCCTACCGTACTGTGAGAGTGTTGCACTCGCACCCTCAACCTGCTAAACGAAACTTTCCCATTTAGAGCAGACGTTCAACCTCTGTTCCATTCCGGAGAACATGTCATTCTTCGTTTGGTGAAGAGCTTTTATTAACAGCATTATTTTGTTGTTTTGAATCACTAATGCCTTTCTCCATTGCTCGAACATAAAGTGTAAAGGAGCTTCGCCAAATCTCTTCAAACAAAGCTTTTATTTAAACATTGGATTGTGTCTAGCTTGGCCGAAGCTCCTTCAAACGGAGCCTTTATTTAAACAATGGACTGTGCATACTTGAGGTAATTAATAAATTCAGGAATGTAAAGAGAAAAGAGCCTAGAGGTAGTATGTTATGAGTTAGTCAGAAATCCACAAAGGAAAAAAAAGATGGTTGTTTTCTTCACCAAGAGATATGTGGAACATACAAGGTCATATAATGTGATCTATAGGGAATTTATTAATCTGTTAATTAATCACTATCATTAAAGTTGATATGAATAATGATTACTTTGTCTTAACTTGGAAGTATACGAAATGAAAGTTTATTATTGTGTGGGCGAGATGTTGAGACTTTTTCATGAACTTCCAAGGCATTATCAACTGGACTTGTTGGTACCCGCACGTTAGTTTTTATTACTTGTTCCGAGTAGTTATGATAATTAAGTTGTGGCAGGGTTAATTCAATTACTCATTGTTTTTTATCTATGTATTGTTAAGTTGGAGTCCGATTACCTGCCTCCGGATAGCGAAGCGAAGCGAGACTTCGGTTGTTTTCGCGAATCGGTGCGATCCTTCCCGCTCCCGCTCTCCCGATAGCGAAGAGTCGCGACCACGATCTGCGGTTTCGCGATAACCGCTGCTCCCACCTCCAAGATCGCGAAACGACGCCGCTTTCAGTCTCCTTTAAGTTGCGAACAAAGAGCACGTTTCTCCTTTGAAGTTTCTAAGTCAAGACAGACACTTTTTTTTGTTTCTTTTTCAGGTTTCCTCAGGATAGAGGAAGAGTTCTTCAGGCTTCCACGGGGCAGTGGAAGAGAAGAAGTGCAAGGAGGAGTAGTTTCTTGCGGTGAAAAAAAAAGAAGGAAGAAGAAGAATATTGTTCTTCCTAGGCTTCTTCTTGGTGGCTTGTGACAGAAGAGAAATTGAGTTTTTTTCTCTTGTACGTGTATCTCGGTGTAGAGTTTTTATTGGTGTATATCGGTGTAGAGAGAGAAAAATAGAGAGAGAAGAAGAGAGAGAGAGCAACGAAGAGTGAGAAATTCCTCTTGTAAGTCGAGGTGATCGACTTGTGTAAATTTCCTCAAGTAGTAAAATCCTCTGCAACTCCGTGGATGTAGGCAATTTGCCGAACCACGTAAATCTATGTGTTCCGCTGTGTGTTCTTTTATGGTGTGATTTTTTTTCTCGTTCTATTTTTCGCTTCGTCGATCGTTCTTCTGTTTGATTTAATATATACCACATCAACTAGTGTATATCTAGATCTCGTAACTACAACAATTGGTATCAAAGCTTTGTTCAGATCTGAGGAAGAATGATGACTGCAGACAAAGTGAAAGTTTCAAGGATCAATAAGTTTGATGACACAAATTTTGGTTACTGGAGAATGCAGATAGAGGATTATCTTTATGAGAAGAAACTTAATCTTCCATTATTGGGAAAAATACCTGAAAGGATGGATGAGGCTGAATGCAATTTGTTGGATCAATAAGTTCTGGAGGTTATTCGATTGACCCTATCGAGGTTCGTTGAAAACATCGCTGTCAAGGAAAGGACGACTGCAAATCCAAAGTTTTCTCTTCTGTAACTATTTTGTAACTAAGGTATAAATTCGGGGACTAAATTCTTTGTAAAGAGAGTAATTTGTAAGATCCAAAGTTTTCTCTTCCCCTCCCTCCACCGAGTCACATGAACTGCCTTTCTCTTTTGATCGTGTGAATAACATAGTCACATAGATATTGTGATATCCTTCCACACCTTCTCTCATGAATCGCATGAATCTTGTGTTATTCTCTTGATGCCTTTTGGATTTGAACCTTGTGCAATCTCCCATGAGATTTCTCTATCTTTCCTTCTTTGTTTCACCTCCTATTTGAATTTGCTCATTCCTGAATCATCTCAAATCTCTATAAATTGAGGTTGAAAAGTTGCGAGTTACCATGCCTCATCTCACTCACCCGTTCACAACCAAGATCCTAAAAGCTCCTTTTTTCTCTCTCTCCCCGCTCTCTTCCTCATTCTCCATAACTTATCTGATAGCAGAGGAACAAAACCCCATCATTCTTTTCTCCTCTTTCCTAAACCGATCAAGCATCAATAGCTCATCCTTTTCCTTCATTTTTTTTTCTTTTATATATTTTTATTCTAATATGTATATATATTACAAAGGGAATCGATATTTGACAGTGGCCAAATATCGATTTCCCATGCGCATTTTGGCCCCATGATCAGAGCCCGCGTCATGTGCCTAAAATTTCAGAGCCCCCTCGCTACAGTGGGACCAAACCTTTGATATGAGGGACTTACAGTGCCCCCACCACCCCCACCCCCACCCCCCCCCCCCCCCCCCACCACCCCACCCCACCCCCCCCCCCCCACTATCTTTATGATATAAATTTTATATTTCTTTTTTATTTCAGTTAACATTTGCATTCAATATTCTTTTGAAAATACAAAAAATGCACAATTTATTTCATCACACCCTGCATTGCCAGAATATATGGCCTTCTAGTTTCACAATGTTACAAATAACATGTGGCCTAAACATTTTATATGTTATGATTTATGACAGACGCCAACATGTTCAAATCTATTGATAAGATTTTTTTGAAATTAGAAGAGTTCATGAAGTAATGGACTAGAAATAAGTGTAAGGAAATAATTTTACTTGAAGGATGTTTGGGCTCACATTTGTTTTTTATTTTTTATTTTATTCGATTTATTTTTATTTTTGAAACAAAGCATGTTTGACATTTTGTGAATATAATTAGTTGTTTTTAAAGCATTTAAGCATCTAAAAGTTACTTTTGAGTATTTTTAAGAACAAGTTAATTTATTTTTAAAAATAATATTATAAACATGTAAAACATAAAACAAACAAACTTATTTTTAAGAATAAAAGCTAAAAAAAAAAAAAAAAAAAAAAAAAAAATTGATCCCAAACAAACCATTAGTCTCACAAAACAAACTAAAATCTCAGATGTTCAGCAAATCAAATCTTTTCAATATATTCATGACATTTCTTCCCATTTTTCTGGTGGGATTCTGTGAATTTCGGAAGGCAACAGTCATTCATACACTAATCTTTGTTAATGTCATGTATACATGACATAAATTCAGGTTAATTTCGTACAAAAAAAAAAAAAAAATCCATACCTTACCCCTAGTTCTATCTCATCAAGCTGCAGACATCTCATTCTCCATGGCCATTCCACTTTCCTGCAACTCTTTCTTCTTCTTCTCCGCAACATAATCAATGTACTGTTGGTAGAAATACGAAGTAAATCCCCACAAACCCAACAGCAATGAAATAATCTTCAGCCCATCCATCTTATCCTGAAACAGAAAAACTGCAAAAACTGGCACTATGGGCGTCCCCAAAGTGCTGATCACATTGGAGAAAAGCGAAGAAACCTGAAAAATCAACCCAATCAATCCCAAATTAGTAACCTGCCAAGCAACCGAAGCCCCAACCAATGTCATCACGTACGCCACCCTTCCCTTTCCAAACCCCTCCATTTCTCCCCTCAATCCTCTCCATTCCCTGCTCGCAAAAAGCCCCACCATTGCTCCCACAGTGGATACAAGTGCAGTGTATATCTGCATCTCTAAAACAGCCTTAACTGTTTGCCTCTTAATCACTTTCTGGAACGTCAGCTCCATTAACGAGAGGATGAAGGAGTAAGTAGCGGAGGCGGTCAAGGTTAGCATAAAGCCAAGCACATATTTCCCACCAGATATGTTGGAAGATGATGAAGGGTCTTGATCGTCGTGGACACCAAGTATGGCGGCGGAGAATGTGAGGAGGATGATTGAATTTAGGGTAAGGTGTGTGAATCTTTCTGAGTTGATGAAGTAGGAGAAGACGGCATTGAAGGCGAGTTGAGTTGTGCTTACGAGGGCGTAGGTTGAAACATTGAGGTAGAGAAGACCGTATGAGTACATTAGGCTGTCTGCGGTTGTAATGAGGCCTATGGCAATGTATGCAAGGGAGATCTTGATGAGGGAATGTTTAGCATCTGGGGAAGAGGAGATGGAGGGGGAAAGAAGAAGAAGGATGAAGAGAATTGGGAAGCCTGCGGAGAAGGTAAGAGTCTGCATCCACTTGCTGTTGCCTCGTTGGATGTAGTAGAATCTTTGTAGCAGAGTAGCGGCCGTCTGGCCGGCCAGGAGGAGGATGATGTAGATGGCCAACACGAGCCACCAAGTCCAGCGACGGGGCATAAAGGTGGGCTTTTAGTAGCGAATGGAGCGGTTTGTGTCTTCCTGGAGTGATAGAAGCGATATTAGTGCATTGTATCTGTTCTGCAAAGAAAAGCTGCTTAAAATGGTAATATTTAGGCTTCATTTGAAGCAAGTTGGTCGTTCAGCATTCTTGTGAAAAACACGTTCAGGAGGCAGTGCTGTTTCATCAAAGAAAAACTTTCACAAGTGTCGGCATTCACTGCAATATAACGGAGATTCAGCGTCCTCTCAAACGAAGCCTTAGAATTGCTCTGTTGAGTTGGAAGGTGTTAAGCTAGTGAAGTGGAGAGTGAAAGAGTAAAGTGTAGTAAATATATTATTTTAAAATATTATCAATCATTATGTATTTCATATCTAATACTTATATTATATTTATCTTTTAATTCATAATGTATTGGTCCATAAATAGCTTTAAAATATATATCCATGAAAAAGTATCTTTCAGTAATATTGGTGATATTTTTTATGTTCTCTAAACATTATGAAGTTATTTATGTTTTACATAAAAAGAAAGAAATATATATATTTGATACATAAAAAGAAAGAAATATATATACTTATATTATATTTATCTTCTAATTTATAATATAATTGATACATCATCAATAATTTTTTATCATCCAGCATAAATCTCGAGACATTGCACTAATCTTGGGGCCATTTTTTAGTCGGAAATGTTCAAACTCCAATAAATAATCAGATAGAACTCCACTTTCAATAAATTTACAGTCAAATCGACCAACTCAATGAGGAAGACTCAAGGCACCAAAGTTGGACCAATTCGAGCCAATTCAAGTCCGAATCAAGTTGTTAAGTCAGTTTTGAAAGCTTTTAGTGCATAATTGAAAGGTCAAACAATTTTAAAATTTGACAAACATATAGTCAAATTGAAAATCTCGACAAGAAAATTCCAACGAAACCAAGATCACTCAATTCTGATATCATTCATTCCTTATTTGCAATGTAGATTCTATAAATAAAGCCATACTTAGACATTAAACCAAAAAAAGACCAGAACATGGAGAAGAATAGAATCCCCGTGTTCTACACCGAAGGTCTAGTGAACACCACCCGATCCTGCAGTCTCGTCGACTATCGCTTGCTTGCTACTGTCGACCACTATCAACCACCACTTATTCTTCGTAACACAGTCCCTTATGAAATTATAGTATGCATTGTAATATCTCAGCACATGCTCTGAAATAGGAAAACATCTGTCGGAGCAGTACGTCACACCTCAAAGTTGACGCAACAACACACCTTGAAGATGGTGCAACAACACATCCCGAAGAGTGTGTAATAACACATTGAAGAGTTGCAAAAACACATCTCAGAGATGGGGTAACAATGCACTTTTCATACAGAGACCCTCTCCGGAAGGTTCTCTTCTTACAGCTCCCCGCTACTACCCATGTGGCCAACTATGACCTACAAGGTCTATAGCTCATACAACACCTAAATTTGGCTTTTAGGCTTACGGACGTTATCACAACCCGTGCAACACCCTACTCTGGCCTCTAAGACCTATATACGTTATCACAACTCAAGCAGCTCCCACATTTGACCTTTATGACTACAAATGTTATCATAGCACTACACTCTGACCCTGGTGGCTTACGAATGTCATCATAGTTTAGCATCAGGGCCTACATGATCAACTATGGCCTACATGGTCAATATTCTTTCAACTCCTAACTCTGGCCTCTGTGACCTACAAATATTATTATAGCTCTCTACTACGACCCATGTGACAGACTAAGAATCACGTGGTCCACGGCTCATGCACCTCTAACTCCGGTTTCTGTAGCTTATAAATGACATTCCAACTTACTACTACAACTTATGTGACCATCTATGGCCTACATGACACAACCCCCACAACTGCATGTTACAACCTCTATGGCCAACCAATGCTCCTAAAACCATTTTGGCATATATGGCCAACTACGATCAAGACATTCAATTGCATCCTCTACTTTAAGCTGAAGTTACAACCACCGTCTACAACATGCATAACAGGCTACTACTTTCACAACAATCTAGTATGACCTTTGTGGATCGTCATAACTACTATTGTTGAACTATAGTTTTATATCAACATTTTAATTCCATCTAATCTATTTGAAGAAGAGATTGGGCCCATGTACTTCCAACTATGTAGTAGATTCCTTTAATTAGACTAAGCCCTGTGATTTTCCCCTTTCGAAGAGTTTTTATATAAGAAATTGAGGTGTCTCCTACTGTTACTCTTATTTATTATTTGTGTGTGTGTGTTGTATTTTTGTACAACACTAACATGATAATTTATTACTCTACCAAAGAGAATCTTCTGACACACAAAACTTTGACGTCGTCGGTGGGAAAAAAAGTGTCGTTCGACATTGTCTTCAAGTCTAAGATGTCAAGTTCTTTGATGTGGGGGCAACCTCCAATTCAATCTCAAAAGGTCATTCAAATTAATGTCTCATATACTATTATGGTTGAGTAGTCTTCTCACATCTCTATAGAGAACTACATTTATGCTGGGAGATAATCTTTTACTGCAGTCTCGAAAGATCATTCACGTTAACTTTCTAGGTATTATTGAGGTGGGATAATCATCACACATTTCATTCAGAAATCAAGTCATTAAGAATCAAATCCAAGTTGGGGGACAACTTTCAACATAAAAAACACTTAGCACCCTCGACCATACTGAAGTTCTTCCTCAACTCAATCAAGAAGCCGATCTCTTTAAAATTTAATAATGGGCTGCTTTACAGGCTCATATGAATAACACCTCTATTGGAAAAAAAGAGTGCCAAAGCAACAACTAATAAGTTGCCAAACATCATTCTTGTGTATACTTGCAACCATATTTCCTAAATCAAACAAAGAGCTACATAAACCAACACGCTGACAACATTGTCACAAAAGTGCCAAGGGCAAGCCACACACACAAACATACAGACACAAGGTGCTAATCTACTACAAAATCCTCCTCCTCGTCAGGAGGTCCGTAGCTTCATGTTCTCTTCTGCTAGAGCCAATATCCTTACTCAAAAAGCCTGCAAAGTCTCCCCATTCTGATCAAGAAGTTATTCAACTTCTTGTGCTCACCCAAGAGGTGGTCAATCTTTTTAAAGCTCGGTCTTGCATTAACTTGATGAAAGGGCAAGTTCATCTCCAAATGGTATCAACATTACCTCCTTAGAATTCTGGTGCTCTTGTTGATTCTCAAGCGAATGGGATTCTCCTAATCTCGACATCTCACAATGCAGGAAGTCTCTTGAAGAAAACACAATAGCAGTTGGGAGACCAAAGGATCCTTTATAGACTACATTTTAGGGAATGAATGGTGAATCCCATCTGGAATGAGCAGCGAGAATGACCGGAAAAATAAAAAGTTTTTTATAAGAGTTCCCTCTGAAATTTCTGGTCGGGAAATCCCAGTTTTCCTTCACGAAGAATCCCTCTGAAACGAGTGGGAAACACCACTTTTTCTTCAGCTCTTTGAGGTTGAGGGCTTGCTCCCCTTTCTTCACCTTACAGCTCCCCTTTGTGACTCTTGCTTCATCTCTTTGAGGCCTTGCTCCCTCTTACTCACCTTGGGTTTTGTCATTCACCTTGTTGAGATCTTACTCTGCTTGGGCCTCTTTTTATATATCATAAGAGCCTAAATCATGTTTTTTTTTGGGCTGATATGGCCCCTAGATCCCGCATAATATGGGCCTTTGGATCCACCATCATGTCAGCTGGACCGCCTCACCGAATCACTTGATCTCTGTCATCCAGTCCCCTTGAATCCCACCCTCATATCTAGCTCCCCTGAATCCACCGTCATATCTAGCCCACATGTATCCACCGTCATATCTAGCCCGCCTATATCCACCTATCCACTTTTTCTTCACCTTCTTGATCGCACTTGAGCCATTTTTACAGGATTTATGTCCACATATGGCGATCCCCCGGAAGTTTGGCAACCAAGAAGTGACCCACGGACCACTCTACTGAGCCAACATGCGCGGACCCGTCGGCCCACCCTGTGGGTCCATCAACACGATGTCTGGCCTAAGATGCTCAGGCGTGACCCAGAACCGGTCCAATGGCCAGAGTGAACTCGCCAACAAAACAATAATTAAGTTGGATAGGTGTGATTCGAACCAACGTCCCAGATCAATATTATTTTTATAGACATAATTCTTGTAAAAAAAGATAAATATCAAAAACATAGATCCCCAGTATTTTCAGGGAGCAAAACTAACCTAACACAAATTAGGGGGCAATTAATACGCCATCAACAAATTTTCATCATCTGACAAAAATATCGAGGTGTGACACAAATTACAGGAAAATTTTTATTGCAAAAAATGATCAATCCTCAATTAATAATCATCTGAAACTCCAATTTTAGCAAACTAACAGTCAAACTGACTAGATCAACGAGACAAACCTAATGACACCAAAGTTGGTCCACCTTCGAAATATTTTAATGTCTAATTGGAAAGTCAAATAGATTATAAATTTGACAAAGTCATAGTCAAATCATGCTTCTCGACAAGTCAAATTAGGGGGCAACTAAAACACCATCAATAAATTTTCATCATCCAACAAAAATATTGAGGTGTGGCACAAATCTCAAAGAAATTTTTATTGCAAAAAATGATCGATCTTCAATTAATAATCATCCAAAACTCTAGTTGCAGCAAACATACAATTAAACTAACTAGATCAACGAGACGAACCTAATGACACCAAAGTTGATCCACCTGTGAATGATTTCAATGCCTAATTGAAAGGTCAAACGGATTCTAAATTTCACAAACTTCTAGGCTAATCAAGTTTCTCAACAAGTCAAAATCAACAAGCACAAATCATGACATCATTAAAACATTCAAATGTCCCTTGAATGACGCCCAATTAAGGGAACCAATTTAAGACGTTTGATGAGAGCGGTCTAGATTTCTTTCTTATTTGTAGCCCGAACTCTATAAAAAGAGTCCTACCCCCTCTTGAGAAGAGGGGTAGACATTGAACCAGGAGAAGAATGAGTAAAACTCCTGTGCTCTACATTGATGATCCATTTAATGCCGTCAGTTCTTGTAGAGGTCAACAAACATCGACCACAAATCACCAGCCGTCATCGCCCACCATCGATTTTCACTTGCTCTTTACGCCGAAGCCCCTTGTGTAATCATAGCGAGCATCACAACATTCCAAAATATGTTTTGTACTATGCACCCCGATGACGATGCAACAATGCACCCTAAAAATAGTGTGTCAAAGTTACCTGAAGATGGTGTAATAATGCACTCTGAAAATGATGCAATAATACATCCTGAAGATAGTGTAATAATGCACCCCACATAAGAAAACCCTCTCCAGACTTTTGAATTTATCTTCTTACAGCTCCTGACTACGACCTATATGATTAATTATGGCTTACAAGGTTCACAACTCACATAACTCCCAACTCAAGCCTCTGTGGCGTACAGACGTTCACAACTTGTGTAGCTCTCAACTTCGGCCTCTGTGGCCTACAAACATTATCATAGCTCATCCAACTCCCAACTCTGGCCCCTGCGACCTACAGACGTTACCACAGCTCGTACAACTCCCAACTCCGGTCTCTGTCACCTACAAAAGTTACCACAACTTGTGCAACTCCCGACTCCGGCCCTTGCCGCCTACAAACATTACCACAGCTCATGCAGCTCCCAAATTTGACTTATATGGCCTGCAAACATTATCATAGCTCCAAACTTCGGCCATGGTGGCCTGTAGAAAACATCATAGACCCACGTGGTCCACAGCACATGCGACTCTCAACTATGACCTCTGCGGTCTATGAATATTATTGCAGTTCACCAACACAGCCCATGTGACCAACTATGGGCTACATGGTCCACAACTCATGCGACTCCCAACTTGGACCTTTACAGCCTACGTATGTTATTGTGTCTCATTACAATGACATTTGTGACCAACTACGACCTACGTTATACATACCTCACGTGGCTCCCAACTATCGCCTCTATAACTTACAGATGTTATTGCAACATACCACTATGATCTATGTAACCAACTGCGACTTATATATCTCATAGTCCCCACAGCTCCTTATTAGGGCATCATGACCAACTGACATTCCGAAGCAACCATCTACGAGCTACATGACCAACTACTATCACGGCTTTCAACTAGAGATTTTATGAAAGCTGATGCTACAACTAGTCTACAACATTCATAGTGACTTGCTGTTTCACAACAATCGATTATGACATTTTCGATCGATTACAACTATTGTTGTTGATCAACTATAGTTATACATCAATATTGTAATTCTATTTCTCTCATTCAAGAGAATAGTGAGTCTATTTACCTTCAATTATGTAGTGAATTTTTTCAACTGGGTTAGACCCTGTGATTTTATTTCTCTTTTAGGATCTTCAACATACAAAATTAAAGTATCTACTCCTGCCATTCTTATTTATTATCTGTGTGTGTGAACTAGATTTTCGTACAACACTAAGGTAGTAATTTATTACTTTACCATCGTGGGTCTTTCGGGATGAAAAAAATAATATAATGAATTAATCGGAGATAATATATTGTTAGTTAAAATAATAGTTTATCAAATAGCGAGATTAATTTGATGAAAACACTTTTATAGGATTTCATAGAGTCAGAAAGCTACTTTTCAACACCCATATATAGATTTTTTGTTTTTTTTATTTTTTTGGTCAGCAGAAAGCAGAAAAAGTTAGCGAAAATCCCAAGTCTTTGTTTGGATTGAAGGAAAGTGAAGCAAATAAAATAAAATCTCAACAAAATATACAGTAAACATGATAAATCTGCAGCCATTTACTTTGCACTCGAATTCTCAGAACCCTAACTAAGTTTAATGATTTCAGGGAAAAAGAAAGTCTGTAGGTGACAGGAAACAGGAATCTGATGCCAAATAGTAGAGCCAGCTAAGGTAAAGAAGTTTCTTTGCAAGTGGGAGGAATGCCCTGATACAAGCAATGGCCGAAATAGCTGGTGGAGAAAGTTCGTAGAATAGTTTTGCTATAGCGAAAATCATGACTATCCATAGAGGGGGATTTGGGAGGAAGAAGAAGAAGAACAGACTTACTAACCTCTGAGAAGCCGAAGTATCTGCGGGATGAAGCCGGAATGCTCATCATAAAAGCAGAAATGAGATAAGATTGAAGTTAAAAGGATGAAATAAGGAGAAAGGGGGAGGAAGGGGACCTGGTAGATGAGATTGCTCTTTAAAATTGGTCGAGCAAAAAACCAAAACTATATGGTTGGCGTTTTGCTGGTATACATAAAAGAAATACTCCGCAAATTTTTTTATGACTACTTTGTAAACATTTTGGGATTTAAATACTTATGAAAAAAAAGTATTATATATAT